TCCCTCCCTCCTTCCCTTTCTTTCTTTTTAAGAAAATTGAATTTGTTGTCACTATTTTAAAAATTGAGATATTTCACACACAGCATTTTTTTGGATTTCTGGTTTCTCTTGAAAAGTCAGGCAGATCTATCAACACGTGTGGATGCACTTTCCTGCAAAGCAAAAATCAGCATACTTTCTCCAGTTCATCAGTTTGAAACACACACACCCGGTCCACCAGCCAAGCATCCCTGCTCTATAATATCCCAGGCGCGTGGCTGGGTGACTGTGTAGCTCTCATTTAGATGCAGAAAGTAGTTGACACCATTACTGGAGTCCCTGATCGTCAGAATCACACAGAGAATAACTCCTCTGCTGTTCCGAAGTTTGACCCCCTCCCTTGTCCTGTGCATGTAGCATTTACATGCAAACAGTAAAACACTTGTTAAGTGTTATTAGCCAGATAGCAGAAAACTGCGCTTGAAAACGGGTGTGAGCAAAACAGAGCAATGTGCAGTACGTCACAGGCTGAAGGGTCACGCCCTTTCATCAGAGCCTTACTTGGGGTTATTGCAGTGTCTCTCTTGGTACCTGACACCTCCACCGCACGTTCGAGAACACTCTGACCACTTGGACCAGGCGGACCACTGGCCATGGATGGGCCGCGGCCCATGCTCCCCAAACTTGACACACTGGCCTTGCCGACACCACTGCAAAAAAAAAAAAAGTGACATGTTCCCGTCAGAGTCCATCTGGGAAAGCAGGAGGAGGTTGCGAACACCTGCAGGGTAACAGGAAAAACAAGTCTGGTGGCAGACGGGAGGGCGCAGACGCGGTGAGAGAATTCTCATCTTTGCCGGCTGCGCTGGAACACGGGGTGCCCCACGTGCATTTTGAAAGGCTGACATCTAGAGAAAAGGGGCATCTGTCACCGGCCGGCTGAGTATTACAGGGTTTGTGAGCTGTCCAGGTGACGTGTTCAGATACGGTTCCACCCAACAGAGGGAGGCAGTGCAAACAGAACGACCACAGAGCCTTCCCTGACCTTTGGAAACAACGCTGCTTAGAGAACACTTGGACTCATTCCTTCCAGAGAAACCAGTTTTTCAGATGCGAACACAGAATGTATCACCCTGGATGATTATCACATCAGAAGAACAGATCTAATTCTGCATACATTTTTATTCCAAACCATCCCCATCGAGCATTTCTTACGACACTGAGTAGCTTTCAGGCTATGCACATTGTTCTTACAGGTCACACCCTTTGCCCTTCTGCCCATGTGAAAGGTCCCTACGGGGGACCCTCTGATGACTTTGAGCTGAGCATCCTTTCTGAGTTAGCTCTGAGTCTCTCCTGTGCTGGTGCTCTGTTCAAGCCCAGGCCAGAGCTGTTTTCTGTGCCAACCTTTCCACTTGAATTCTCCTCTGTAATCCAGTCCAGCTCTGCTGGTCACCTCTGTCCTTGGGGGCTGCCTTCACTGCTGGGAGTGGGGTTTTTTTTTTCCTGCGGTGCTTTTATGATGAGCAAGTTCTGCATGATTTAGCCTAACTGCACACTTTCCTAAAAGCCTCTGCAATTCAATCCACAGGGTTGGGGTTTGGACCGAGCCAGGTTCTGCGGAGGAGTTGGGGTTTGGTTACAGAATTGCGGGGAGGCTGTGTCGCTTTCAAATCTCTGCTTTTCCCCTGTGACAGACTTGGCTTTGTGGCTGTTTCTCGTGAGGCTTGGTTGCTAGTGCACTTTGTCTACGTCAAGTTCTTGCTTCCTTTCTTCAAAGTTTTGCCATGTGCTGATTAATTCTTCTGTTTTTCATTTTTCTTTTCCCTGGATTAACTGCCACTTCAGAGTTCACATGCAGTCGTATTACATTGTGGAGAACTTTGAGGTGGGTATGCAATAGGTCATTTGAGGATTTTGTCAGTCATGAGCACGAATCTGCATCTTCCCCATCAGGAACGGTTGGGTCTCTCCTGGACCAAGCTCAGTGGCTGTCACAAAATCAACAATACGAGCAGATACAGTTTTAAGTTGCATCTAGGTGTCAAAAACAAAATGGGCTGGAGGATGGGGGAAGACTTCATACACACTACCTACCTAGAACCCTCACAAAGCACCTAGCAGTTCATAACTATTTTCTGAAGGAGAGAAATTTAGCAAAGAAACGCTACCCAGCTAACTATCCAATGAGCAGAGACTGGATTTAAACTCAGTAGCCTAAGCTCCTGAGCAGGACACGTAGACTTCTTACCGTGCAGGCAAATTACTCACTGATGCATCTTAACTCTAATTTCTTTCTTTAGAAATACAGCTTTTAGGTCTGTTCCAATCCTTCAATTAATTTGCCTTCCTTTTATTACAGTATTGATCCTAGTATTAAGCTGGCTGAGAGATTGTTCCCTCTGGCTTTTTCAATCAGCAGAGAAACCAGGAACATACAGAAATACCTACATGCACAATCTGCACGTCCATGTAAAACTCTACATATAAAATGTCATGTATGTATATATAAACATGTATAGTTATGTGGAGCTATCCATATATATTTCTATCACTGCTTCTAATTTCAAATTACATTTGCCCATGTTTGGGGCAAGTATCTTTTACAATAGACACAGCAAGCACAAAACTTTCTTTCCTTGGATACATCATCTAGATAAAACAATGTGACTTTCACATCCTCGCAATTCACCCAGGATTCATGGCACAAATATCCCTGAAGGACCAGGGAGGATTCAGGTGGGTTTCAGTCATATAGAAAGAAACAAAAAATATGGCGTGACTGCTGCTCTGCAAGACAGTCCAGGTAAAGATGAGTAAGATACGTTGTTGGCCTCATGAAGTTTATGGTCTAATAAATAGCCAATTCCATCCCCAAGGGAAGGTAGACTCTGAGAACCATACATACGAGTGCAGGGTAATCACACTGGACTGATGATGGGTCAAAGCTATTGGAATGTTTTCTCCTAACGATGACTTGACACTTGAGGGCTTTCCCCCAGCGTATATAACCGTGGTCTGGTATTTTAAAATAGGGAGATGGGGTGAGTGGTATTAGGACCTCTATCTTCTCATTTCTGGCCTGATTTGCCTCATGCTGTATTCACTGAAGTCTAATCCAGAGGAATTTTAGTCCCTGCAGAGCTAGATCCCTGGTGTATTTATATAATTAACCTTAGACCTGTACCATTTATCACATTTTCCTCATTAGCTACATAAATCTTTTCTCACACCTCCCTCTTGTGTTTAATGCCGTTGCTTTCCTAATGAAAGAATGCCCATTAATCCTCAAGTTGTGAGTTCTAAATTTTGAGGCTTTAAAAATAAAAATGCTTTGTGTGTGGCTTATATGTTCAATCATTTGTCGTTTTGTACCATCACAGCTAAAACAGTCTTCTGCACGTCTTCAGTGAGAATCCTTATTGGGATTTCCTAAGACCAGGACATCTGATTTAAAATTTCCCATGATGTTTCAATTTTTCAGATGCTTATTTTCTTTAAAATGAAGAGTTACAAATCACAAATCTTTTAAGAGGTATTGAACAGGTGCCCTAACAGACTTCAGAAGACATTTTCTGAACATTCATTTATTTTGTCTCTTTGCCTTTATTGCTGGTCTTTCCCAGAAAGTTTCTCTTTCACTCACCCAAAGAGCTTCCAATTCAAATTCCAACATCCATCTGAGGGTACCACTTATTCTAAGTGCACAGCTAATTCCCAGGAGTAGTCATTTGTCATTTATTTGGGCTACTATGTGCTTGAAGAAGGTATGTTAAAAAAAAAAAAGTTATTGGCTTCTTCACAGGTTTCCCCATTGGAATGTCAATATTTGAAGAAGTAAAATGGAACTTTATTTATCTCTGTTGCCCTAGAGTCTCCGGTCACTACTATCTTCCCATCAATCAATTTTGGTGGAATTGAATTCACTTTAAATGGCCAATTCTTCTATATAGGCTTGGCTGCCTCAAGAAAGCCAATGGCAGAGACCAAAAAACCTGAAACATCTCCAGTTCTCTTATCGTTCACGGCTTCCCTGTCACGATTTTTCAAAGTTATGCCCCAAATCTGGATCATTGACTAGTACCTCAAGTGCACCTTCCCCTCCAGACTCTACGGGGAAAGGGGAAAAAAAGGAAACTAACACATGAGAGTCCTTCATTCAAAGCACAGAAATCTCCCATCATCTTCTGCAATGGAAATGGCTCTTCGGGTTGAAGATACTTGGGAGCAAAGACTTTCTGGTACAGCCTAGATGGAGATGCAGCTTACCCTTCAAGAGATGTTGCTATAAGGGATGGGATGCTATTTGGCGTAACAGAAGCTCAATGACTGGTCCTGTGAGGTAAGCGGTAGAGGCTCTGTATGAAGGGACAGTCCTTACTTTGCTACTAAAAGAAACATCTGCTCCCTGAATCAAGTTTAAAAGGCAAACAGTAGACAATGAAACCCTCCCACTCACTGAAATAGAGATATTTTGACCCAAGCCCCCATCTAAAAATGGAAAACAAACGCAAAAGGGAAGAACAAACCTTTTTACACAGCTGAGCCAACTCAGTTATATTAGCATGGAGTTTTTAAAAAGCTGCTAAATACGCTGGCTAATTTACAGAGAAGCCAGCTAAAGCACGCCATGTTGAGGTCACAGTACAAATAGTCTGGGTTCTACACTTGATCAAGTTTCTGGAACTAAAAACTAACAAGTATGCAGTTTACCATACTCAAGCCACAAACGGTCCCTTCCGCTGCGGGCATGAACTTGGTCTCACACCTGTGGCCCACTCGGTGGCACCAAAGTGATTTGCAAATGTCCTGGAAGGAAAGAAGGAGCTGGTAAGGGTGATGATACCATAAAAGCAGAAATATCTGAAGCTGCTGTACACAATACTGTATTTTGAGGTGGCTGAAATGGGACATTATCCAGAAAGTAGAGGTAAGTGAAGTCAGTAGTAGCCAGGTAACCAGTAACATGTTCTAGCAGGTGTTTAAGCAGGAAATTTCTGCACTACCTGTGTATTTATGTGTGTTTAGCAATGACTGGGAGGTAACAATAGTTAATTTAGAGACTATTTGGCTTTTAACTAAGAGATCTGGTTTCTAATCATCATCCTCACCATCATCAAAGCAGAATAGACTAAGACTGGAATAATCCAAGTCAGAGTCAAATCCAGGTTGCATGACCTACAGACATGTTACAGAAGCCCTTTAATCTGCAGTTTCCTCATCTGGGAGTAAGTGATAAAATTAGTGCCTCTACAGGGTTGTTCTCAAGGATAAATGGTGTAAATCATCATCATCATCATCATCATCATCTTCATCATCATCTTTAATTTTCAAGCATTTAGACAATTTAATTCTCACACTAGATCTAAGAAATCATCGAACTCCTGTGTTAAACTGTCATAGGCAGAAGGATGGTGACCCAAAACAACCATGTCCTAATTCCTAAACCTTCCTGTGACTATGTGAGGTTACAGAGCAAAGGAGAATGAAAGTTGCAGATAAAATTGAGGTTGCTCATCAGATGACCTGGAGATGGGGAAACTATCTTAGATTGTCCAGATGGACCCAAGATAACCACAAGGGTCCTCAAACGGTGAAGAGGAAGACAGGAGAGAGCTGGAGAGATGGCAGTGTGCAGAGGATTAAGGGGGATGTTACTGGTTTTGAAGATGGAGGAAGGGGTCATGAGCTGAGGAAGGCCAGCAGCTTTGGGACACTGGCGAAGGCAAGAAAATGGCTTCCCTTCTAAGAGAGCCTCCAAAAGGAACCCAACCCTGCCAACACTTGATTCTAGCCCAGTGTGACCCATTTCAGATGTCTACCTCTAGAACTATAAGAAAATTAATTTGACTGTTCTAAGTCACTGAGTTTGTGAAACTTTATTATCACAGCCATAGCAAACGAATACTGTCATTAACACCACTTAGTGGGGAACACTTGACCTCATTTAGCTCGTTTAGATGAGGAAACTGAACAAGGTACTGACACTTCCAAGGTGTCAAGTCACCCAGCTGCTAAGTGGTAGAGCAGGAGTCAAACTGGCCTGATTCCAGAGTCCAGGTCCCTGACCACTGTTCTGGACCTGGATGTGGCAACAGTGGATGTTGGAAAGCTCTCAACTTCTCCAGGCTCAGATGCCTATCTGTAAAGTAAAGGGACTGAACCAGATTCCTTCCAGCTCAAACAGGGGGAGTTGCTCTTCAGAATTACGTTGTTAACTGAAAGTCAAAATCACAAATCGTCAAAGTCACTCCATTTTGTTTGCCATATTCTACTGACTAAGGTAGAAATATGAACACATACATTTTGAGGAAAATATTAACAACCAGGGAGAGAGGCAAAATGATTTTTGTGGTTACTTGTCATAACCCTGAAGATTCAATTTAACCAGGTATTCGATTCTCCAAGCATTCCAGTTAATACACATTTCACAGTTAGAAGATACGGCAAGAACAGGCTTAGAAAATATTTCACAGAAAAAGTGTTCCACGGGACTGAGAAAAGGAAATCAGAGATACTAGCAGCAAGCCTGGTCTTGTGGATCATACAATCCTTCCCCACTCAAAAAAGAATGGGAACATCTCCAAGACACTGCTCGGAAACACCACCACCAGCAGCCGCCCCAGACATGCACCACACAGTCCATTTCCAGATCTCAAAACAGCTCCTCAGACACAAGATGGAAATGCTTCCCAGAGAAATGGACCTGCAACTGACATGAGCAGAAAGTCCAAGGAATCCTGCCAACAAAGCAATCAGGTCCACCATCTCCGTGGGCTCTCACACTCGGCCACCCGGGGTCTCAGGGGGACAAGTTAAGGTGAGAATAGGACAATCTACATCAAAATGGAGGAATGGGAGGTAACCATGGAAACAGTTAAGGCCACAGTTAGAAAGGCTTTCGGAATTCAATTGTTTTCCCTCTTAGAGCCAACGCCAAGCCACAGGGCTATGGAATGGGGGCCACTGGAGAAGACTGGGAAAATAAAACACAAAAACACAGGGATTCCAGAGAGAAATGCGACAGGCTGTATGAACATGTTATTTCTTTTGCGGTGAAGTACAGAAGTCACATGAAATTACAGCCAACTACTTGCTCTGACGACCCCAGAGCCCTCCGAGAAAGCTTCCTTTCAAAGTAAACAGAAATGAGAGTTTGCACTTTTTTGCATGTTCTTCTCTCTTCTCCCTGCCCCAGCACTCTCATCTAACTTTTCCTTATCTATAATTCCCCAGACCTAAGTCATAATTTAAGGGAAAACGAAAACAACCACAGAGACTACAAGGTCTCATGTTGCCTGGATGTGATTTTGAAGGAAAGAGCCTCAATGCTGTCAGTGTTCTGTCCTGTCCCAGACTGGCCACATTCTCCAGTTTTGTCTTAAGAACAGAAATCCCTTCAAGTGAAATCTGACAGGCTCAAAATGTTGATGGTCTTAGCAAATCAAATTTTATAAATCATCTCAAACTTAACATATCCAAAACAAAATCTCCCAGCTGTCTTCCATGACCTGTCCCACGTTCAGCCTTTCCAGCTTATGTTATGACACTCCCATATATCCAAGAGTCTTTTTTGACTCCTCTCCTTCTCCCAAAGAAGTCACCCCTGCTTCCTTGAGGAGGGATGAGAAGGGAACGGAGGTAAAATCTTCCACTTTATGAAAATGGGAGTGCTAAAATTATGTGAGCTTTGGTGATCATTGTAAATCCAGTAAACCATTACTGAACATCTGTTAATATGCCAGGGACATGCAAGGCACTGTAGATTCTCTCCATCTACTGAGGCAAGAGATAACAGACGGTAAAAACATAGCATCACAAGTTAATGAAGGTGACACACAGGGTGGAGATGGAGCTCCCTTAGGGGAAGTTCATAGCAGCACTATTTACAATAGCCAACACATGGAAGCAACCTAAATGCCCTCTGATAGATGACTGGATAAAGAAGTTGTGGTATATATATCCAATGGAATACTACTCAGTCATAAAAAAGAATGCCATTTGCAGCAATGTGGATGGACCTAGAGATTATCATACCAAGTGAAGTAAGTCAGAGAAAGATAAATTCCATATGATATCACTCAGATGTGGAATCTAAAATATGACACAAATGAACTTATTTACAAAACAGAAACAGACTCACAGACAGAGTCCCCTTCTCATCCCACCTCACACTTATGGGTACCAAAGGGGAAGGGAGTAAAGGGATAAGTTATGAGTTTGGGATTAGCAGATAAATACTACTATATATAAAATAAACAACAAGGTCCTACTATATTGCACAGGGAACTACATTCTATAATTTGTAATAATCTATAAAGAAAAAGAATACAAAAAAGAATATATGCATATGTATACAACTCAATCACTACACTGTACACCAGAAACTAACACAACATTGCAAATCTACTATACTTCCATTTTAAAAAATCTTGGGGGAAAATGGGAGGTAACATTTGAGCTGAATCTTTAACAATAATAAAAAATGATAGACACATGGTACATGGGTGGCCATGCAGTATTCCAGAGTGGGAAAGCATGCAGACAAGAGCTTGTAGACAAGAAAGCAATAAACATATGAAAAACATACCAGGACATCACTACAGTTGGAACTTAAGTTCCTGGGGGAAAATTAACAAAAGCCAAAATGTGATGTAGTAAATTTAGTAGATTACAAAGAGTTTCTCTTTATTCTCCATTCTTTGATCCCAATGTCCAGTTCTTTTAACGACAATTTTTACTAGGGTATAAATGACCTAAAACATTGTATTTCAGGTGTACAATATAATGATTTGGTATTTGTACATATTGTGAAACGATCACCACAATAAGTCTAGTTAACATCGGCCACTATACATAGTTGTTTTTTTTTTTTGTCTCGTGATGAGGACTTTTGAGATCTACTCTTCCAAGCAACTTTCAAATATGCAACAGAGTGTTATTAACTAGAGTCACCATGCTGTATCTCACATTCCCATGACTTATTTATTCTATAACTAACAGTTTGTACCCTCTGATCCCCTTTACTCATTAAATTGACAAATTTTAAAGAATGAATACATGTTGGTATGACTTTTCCTTCGAAGGACACACTCTCTGAGGTGATAGACCTGAAAATAGTCCACTGGAATCAAAATACCTTCCCCAGAGTTCTGATTTTGCCCCAGATCCTCCTGGCACGTCTATAAATGAACATTGACGAGCTCCTGCTCTGTGACAGTGACTGCCGGCTACTGAGGTGTGGAGTAGGGTTGCTCATTCCTCACTCGGTAAAGTAACCAGCATGCGAAGCACTGCTCAGAGTCTCCTTGCTTAGGGCATTCCAGCCAACAGCATCGATTCCCTCCCTGAGTCAGGAAGCATTGAGTAAACACCTAATAATCAAATGCGCGTTCTCCCCAATTGCTTATGGAGGTTACCATCCCTTAGGTGTGTCCAACTAATGTGGAACCATCAGCCAAACTAACGACTCATTTCCTTGAACACTTTGAAAGGAAACAGAGATCAAGCATGATGTGCCAAGGACACAGAAAAGTGCAGTGGGGAGAGGAAGGGAGGCGGACAAGGCATGAGAAACAGCCAGCTCCAGGCCCACAGACAAGGAGGCCACTGGGAGAACAGCCAGGGTGATGGTGATGACGCTGATGAAGACACGAGGAGGAGGGTGAGACAAAACCCCTTGTTATTTACGGAGCGGTGCATCCTCATAATTATCCGAGAAGAGCTATGATGGTCCCCACCTTACAGATGTGGACCCAAAGCTGAGAGAGGTTAAGTCGTCTGCCCAGGGTTCCAGGAAGTGGTGGAATAAGGCTTTGAACCCAGGTCTATTTAACTCCAAAAGCCAGGGGTAGGGGTGTATGGATGTGGGTCTGTGCATGTGCTTGAGTGTGCTTAAAATTATAGACTGTCCAGCTCCATAGCCATCCATCTGGAGCATGCATCAGGGGCACCTAGACCCGCTACATTCAAACACAGATTGCCAGGTCCTACACCCAAAGTTTCCTGTTCTTTACGCCTGGCTGAGGCCTGACCGCCTGCATTTCTAACAAGATCCAGGAGATGCAGATATACTGTATCTGCTGGTTGGAGAGGACACTTGGAGAATGACTTCCTTTTTCCCTCCCGTTTTGGGTGCCTTTATTATGCAAAACTGCCTTTCAAAGAGGCACAGAGGGAAAAAAAGTCAGCAGTGAGGAGAAAAGGTGAGAAAGGGAAAGTAACGACAGGACAACGAAACCTTGAAAATAAGCTTCATCATCCTTTCCCTGGAGCTGGCCCCAACTCTTCAGACCAATAGAAGAAACAGGAGATTTTGGTGTTTTGGAAACCCCTCCTACTTAGGGCCTAGCAGAGAACTATTTATGAGTCTCAGAGGTAGGGCTGTGGTTTGTTATAAGTAGGTTCTTTTCCCCCAGACCGTGGGGGGCAAAATATCTTCCATATTCAGGATCCACCAACCAACTCAACCTTCTTCATCTTCATCTTGCTTGTTTGTTTTTTTTAGTGGAGGTACTGAGGATTGAACCCAGGACCTCGTGCATGCTAAGCACACGTTCTACTACTGAGCTGTTGTGCATGCTACACACACCCTTTACCACTGAGCTATTACCCTCCTCCTCTGTCTTCACCTTCTTAAACAATCATCTTACACAATCCCTCTCTCAAGCAAATCTTCCTACCCCTCCAGACATTCCCTTCTCTGTGCCTTTCTTCATTCTTTTCCATCTTCTCTGGAATTTCCATTTCCCTTTGCACCACTTCCCAGGAAAAACCATCAAACTGAGATGCTGTTGTCTTTCAAAAATATGGTATGGTCTCAGAGAAAGATCTATTCATTTCAGGACAGCTGTTAAAACCCTGCACACAGCCGACACAGGCAACCTGATGAATGAATGAATGAATTGTATATGATCCTAAAGTGAAGATAGTAATTAGAAGCTTCCTTTATATTTCTAAAGAAAATCAAAGTCATCACCATTTGTGAGTTTGCTGCAATGGTAGGCACTTAATAAATATTTGATTAGTGAAGGAGTAAGCTAATGAATCCTTGAAGAATAGAGTGACAGGAGACAGAATTAGCAGGTAAACTCTTTCAACAAAGTGAATGGCTATTGATTTCTGCCAAAAGCATCAACCTCACAGGCAATTAGAAACTACTGTGAATTTGTTAATTTAAAAATATGAGACACCAGCCATTTGCCAAAGGAAGATCCCTGTAGCATGGAAGACACACCCAAAAAATGGGGATGGTGTACGAATATACTTTCCTAATAGTTATACATTAAAATTGCATTTGAAAAATATGTAATCCCATATCAAACCTGTGATTTGGTGGGTAGTATTTCTCAGGACTGGACTTCCATTTTTTTCAAGTGAGTTGATTTATAGAAAAGCAACAAGTGAGTACTAATACAGCACCACTAATAATGGTCATTGTTAATGAATGAATGTTAATGTTGAAGTCTAGCAAACACTGGTATTAACAAAAAGAAGGAAGCTTAATATCGTGGTGGGTGATGTGTTCGGTGTAGCTTCCACCATTGAAAAGTTTTGAGGCTTTGGGCAAATGGAATTCATTCTCTGAGCTCCAGTTAAAAAGCGGTGATAATTCACATTTCAAAAACATTTTTGTGAAGATTGAGGAAAACTAAAGTAAGTCTCTAAGTGGAATGCCTTATGTGCAGCAGGGGCTCATTTAGCAACCGCCAGAGGTGATGGTGGATGGTGGGGATGGTGGAAGTGATGGTGGTGGTGCCACTGATGACGGTGGTAATGATGATAGTGGTGGTGAGAAAGGAGGAGTAAGAATAGGAACAGAGATGGGAAGAGGACCTCCATAATTTCCATGAATCTGGATACCTAGAATTTCCATGTTTCCCTTTGGGTACTGGGAATAAACCAGCTTAAATATGACTCTACTTTTTAGCGATGGGGAGACTGTCAGTGATGTAGTTTCTGACCAACTGTTCCTCTCATTTCTACATCCTAGACTTTTGCTTTTTCCTATATGTCTTTTTCACAAAAGGTAAGCCTTCCTTGAATGAAAGACTTGACACACAAATCATATTAACATTATTCAAGATACATCCTGAATTCTGACATACCAGAAATAAGCTGGCTGCCAACGATGGTGTTCATATCACTGTAAAAGGCGTACGTATGTATTTTAAGGTGTTGATGATCTTATATGGATTATGTAAAAAGGGCATATGAAACACAATGATAACAAAAACAGGTATGAGCAGTAGGTGAAAGCTATTGTACCCAGATTTACTACATGTGATAAAAATCTTCATCTACAGAGGAGGAACTGTCTTCCAAGGATGCGGTCTGATGGTATTTAAGCCAAGCAACGTCTATGGGGGATACGCCAGGATAATTCCTTGACAGTAAAACCGCCACTTAATTATCAGGCCAAACAACTGACATTTTAGAGATAACCCAGACTCTAACCCTTGGCCTTTGCAAACCAAATGTTTATATCTCTGTTAGGTACACGGACACATTACAGAATCTTAATGTAACTTTGAAATCACAAGCAAACATACCTTCACAAAACCAAGGCTGCATAACTTGGCTTTTGCTCCAAATTGCCACTTGCACTGTGTGTCAGCATCATAAATCTGGCCCGGTAGTTTGTCCGGATATTTATACTGTCCTGTTTGCTTGGGCTCATCCACCAGACAGCCGGCCTGAGGTGTACTGCGGGGATAACACATCCTTGTTAGTGATCATGTTTATCTGTGATCTTGCCACATAAACCAATATGCCTCTGAATACATTCATGCCAAGAAAAATATAACATGGCTCAAGAAATATGTATATACTTAAAATAAAAAGGGTGAGTCCCGTCCTGTCTAAGAAGATGGACTTCACCCAACCACATAGGGTTTGACATGGCACCGGAAGTTACAGCCATCCAAGTGACTGGGCTTGGCCTACTGAGATGGGGAAAATCAATACATTTGAAAACTTTCCCCACAGTCTCATTCCATAATATTCAACAAGTTTTTACTAAGTGTCTGCTCTCTGGTGAGTGTTAAAGCTACAAAACTTACTAGACAGCGACGATCACCTGTCTTCACAGAGTTGAAAGTTATGCTTATTTCTTACTGATAATGCAGCAGTGGCCAAAGATACATTTTACCTCACATAATCTTCACCAGCAAAAAAAAAAAAAAGGTTCTTGAAAGAAATCAGAAAATCAGGAGAAAGGATACATTGGGACTTAAGACAGGACAATTTCCCTGAGATATATCCAACTGGGATGTGTTGAGAAAAAAAAAATCAGTCTTGATGGCATGGATATTCTTAGAAAGCACCTTATCTCCACTTAACTAATTAAACAAGGATGTCAATGAGACCTAAAACAGCATGGTTGTTACGTGTGATTTTGGAGTCAGATAGGGGTTCTAGTCAACCATGCAATCAAGACTGATTCTTACACATCTCATTACTGATAATGACTTTGCTAAGAGTTGTTAATAGATCAAGCAAGACAATGTATGGTGCTTAACACAACACAGTAAGCATTCAAAGTCAGCTTCTGTTGGTATTATTATCATTATCCAAAAGCATTTAACTAAGTCATTATTAACAATGGAAACTCAGTCTATACTGAGGTGACCTTGATTTATAATATTTATTGACTCCATTCTCACATGAGATAGAAAAGATAATTTCAGGCCCCAGATCATCAATTTAAAGCTAACAAAAGAAAATCTTCTATGTGACAAAGTCATGCAGCAAAAGATTTGTCAATTTTTTACTATCCCTTGGGGCATCATTTGGTTAATATCCTTCACTGATTCAGCCTTGCCTGTGTGTATTGCTAGTTCTGTAAACACTGGCAAATAATATGCAGTGGTACGGGTTTAAAAAAAAAAGTATCAATAATATTCATTCCCAAAGAAACCTGGTGAGTTTTCCTAATATCTGGTCAAAGGGAGATGTGATTAGAACCTGAGTATTCTTGTGAGAAACATAGATCAACAAGATATATCTGCATACATATAAAATGATATACATACATACATACCTATATATTTAACAACCACTATAGTGCTGTATAACGGTCAAATGGTCAAATATACGTTACAGCTGAAGAAAAACCAAAGGAAATGTCAAAGAGTTTCAATTTGGGGTTTATTGTTTAATATGAATCAAACAGCTCTACCTTCCAAACTCCTATTTTACTAATGAAATCTAGGATCTTGAGTATTAAAGACATTTTACATAGCTATCATCATCCCTTCTGGATGTCTTTTGGGCGAAGAGCTAGCATGTCGCCTTTCAAACAAAATAGCCAGTCAGGACAGTGCCCCATTCGTGGTAAAACTGGCACACCATTTTGGCATTTCCAATACTCTTATGACCAAGTTGACTAGTTAAACTAATTAGTCACAGTAAAAACACAATATATCCAGCAATCTCTGGAGGTCTTAGAGGTGAGAGGGTTCTAAGCACAGATCTGGAGTCAAAACAGAAATAAGTGTGAGACATATTGACAACACACCAGCTGTAGAACCTTAAGATACAAAATTAATCTCTCTAAGACTCAATCTCCTAAACTCTAGAACAAGGATAATGACAGGACTGATGTGAGGATGGAATGAGGCAATATGTGCAGAGCACACAGCACAGTATTAGACCTTCAATGTATTGTTTCCAACCACAACCATACATTATCACCATCAATACACTGATTATTTGTTTTCACATCTGTTAACTACTGTTCACTGTAACTACTCCAAAACTGGGAACACCCCTGGCTTTGGCTTGTTTTACCTCAGGAATTTCTTGAGATACTGCCGGCTGCACGAAGACCAGGAAAACACCCCATTGTTTCCCGTCAGTGTAGGAGACATGATATTGCCTTCAGCCTTCCTGCAGGCATTGCCTTCTCCATCATGAATCATGCCGAAACTAAAACAGAAAGAGGAAAACAAAAAGTCTCCTGTGAACCCATTTTCCGAACTGTAACTACAGGAAGAAGAAGATGGATCGAGAATCAGAGAACCCAAGTGAGGGACACAGTTGGTTGAAAGTGCAAGAAAAGACAGTGGCAAAGATGAGTTACTCTACAGTCTTGTCAGATTCATGTAGAACATTCTAAAGAATGCTAAGGGCTTTGTTATATTATACCTTGGCCACAAAAAAGGGCAAAGAATGGTATACCTACTACAGATTTTAAGGGCGAGAACATTTTAATCAAGATTTCTAAGCTAAACTAAAATGACAAGAAAGTCAAATCTTTTTATTTCAAAGAACAAATACTTTTTCTTGCCACCAGTCATGGAACTGCAGTAAGAAAGTTCAGAATGAGTAGAGTTAGGTACAGAGAGAAGCTGGTGATAGTTGTTTAGCAACCATTCATGTGTAAAGATTGTGTGACATAAAACTTCCAACAATGATCAACTTATTAGCTGAAATCACAAACTCTTTTTATAACTAAACTCCCCTAAAATCATAAACATTCTTTTTAAATTAATGGTTGAATGCATCCATTGATGGCACATGATGGGCTAGTTTTGAATGTATTTTTTTGGAAAAGGCTTTAAGTTGCTCCATTTTACCAAAGAAGATTCTAGCAGTTACAGAGTAAAAATAATTTTAGGCGGTTTACTCCCTAGAAATCATGTACATTATACCTAAACATTTCCCAAATCTCCCAACTGGTAGAATAAATGTAACATTAAAGTTTATACCCACATATAATACACCCCCCCACAAAGACAGAACATACTTCAGGCCATATTAAAATGGTAGGAGATGGGGAAATAAGCTTTTTGGGTCATATCTAAGAAATTCAGTGCACAAAAAAGCTTTCCGTGACTTTTCTATGGAGGTAGAGGATGGAAGGATATCAATTTATCATTGATTTAGATTGTTCTTAACCTAATTATTTAAAGGAGCAAAATATGCCTCTTAAGAACTTATTCGTATGAGGCAGACATGATTCCTATGGAAATGAACATGCTATTCTGATATAATCTTAACAATATAGCTGTCCTTTGAAGGTTACTCCAAATAAATAACTGTGTTATAACCGTAGGTATGATTCTGTTGTGACTTGTCCATCTACAATCTAGCCAGCTACCCAGCATTCCTTCCAATTTATCAGGCAAGTAATGGCAGGATGGCTGTATACAGTAATCCTATCAGTGAGTGCCCCAGGGATTTAGAGGTGACGGATTCACAAGCATAGACTCAGGGAGAGCATTTTCTCACCTCTGCTTTGCCCAACTCAGCTCTTCTTTGTACCTAACCAGGAAACTAGGGGGAGTTGTTTGGGAGACCACCTTTCCAAATGTATTTGTCAAAGTCAAAAAACAGAAGGAAATTCATGTATAAAGCACCACAGGAAAGAGCAAGAATCACAGAAATGGGGATAAAGTTGGGAGAGATTGAAGCCATTACTCTAAGAGAAAAGGTAATTACATGAACACTTCACTGGAGTTTTATGGACATAAGCAAACCAAGTTTGAATTGAATTTTGAACTTAAATTTTTTTTAATGTTCTAATTTACTTTGATTTAACAGCATTTTAGAAGATAATATGCATTTTCTTTAGCACATGTCGAAAGTCTTAGCAAAAATCTCATGAATTGTCTGTTTCAAAATTTCTCTCTGTAAGGCTATGTCATTTAGAATTTGAGTATGTACTTTCCATTATATGTGTTCTTCCTTTTACCTCTGACTCTTCTCACACCACCTGGAGAACATCTTTGTTTCTCCTTACAAATATGTTGAGTTTTGACTTGGGTAACTTTAACTCAAAACCAAGGATGATTATATTTTTTAATGGCCAGTATTTTTGAAGAGTGAGAGACACCAGTTAATTTGGACCTTATGCCAGTGAAATAGAATTAGACATATGCTTGACATTCATAGATATTTTATTTCCTGCTCTAAACAAGAAGACCTTGTGTCTAATGGGCATTTTTGTACCAGTGTGCAAATAAAATTGGGTCGTTCACACCTTGCGAAGAAAGCGGCTCTGTATAGATATAAAATGCTGGGCAACTGATGGATAACAGTAACAGTCAAGATTCAAATTTCCTGAAGATAATATATTTAGCTCACAAGACACACTAACAACAAAATACCAAAATATAAATTAAAGTTGTGAAACAGATGATGCTTGCTTTTATTTTTTTAAGTCAGAAGTTAATTGGATACCCTGAAATTGATTATTCAGTATAAATACTGAATACAAGACACACGCCAACACTCCTAAACTCATACATCCAAAGAGCTTGCCCTTGAAATAGCCAGTTTGTAAAGCAGTAAGCTTATTCCAATATAGATACAATTGCTCAAGGGTAATGTCTGAAAACTCTCTGTTGAATTGTATCCATACCAGGTTCTATGCTTCATAAAATAAATTCATCTCATTACTCTTAGGTTTCTCATACCTCATTTCTAACTCTATTCTTGCAAAAGAAAGGTTTACTGACAACAACTGAAAGAATATTCAGTCCAGGCAATGACACCGATGAAAAAAATATCCAATAGACACACCAGAAGTTTTTAGACAATGGCAGGGGTGGGTGCATAGTGGTACAGTGTGTGCTTAGCATGCATGAGGTGCTGGGTTCAATCCCCGGTACCTTCATTTAAAAAATAAATAAATAAACAAATCTCATCACCCCTCCTCAAAAAATAAAACCCAAAATAAATAAAAAGTTTTTAGACAATTAACATGCCATTATATTCTGGGAATTTATATATCCCCATGATTATTTCTTTAGTGTAAAAAAGACTATCTTCATTGTAGCAAATAAACAAAGAAGAAATAAACAAACGCCTAAAAGACCAGAGGACCCATTAGATAACCTGCAGCCTAGTTTGCATACAATGTAATACCAGGCAGCTATTCATTGTTTAAAAAGAGCATCAACAGTCACTGGCCTTTATCTGAGCCCTTCTTTCAGGTACGGGTCTATGCTTGACTCAAGATTTATCCTATTTATTCTGCCTAGATCAGTAATAATCATTAGACAGATATCAGTGAATCGCCCAACCAGTTTTCGTATGAAGTGGTGAATCAAGGGGCCACTTACTTGTGCCCTGACTCGTGAGCAATGGTGAAGGCCAGACCGAGCCCCGTGTCCTCGTTAATGGTACAACTTCGGTACTTACTGCACATTCCACTGATGGGGGCAAACCCTGGTGAAAGATCAATTTCAAATGTTAATCCAAAGGGGACACACAAAGATACCTGATCATTTCTCAGGTCCTCATTATGTTCTGCACAGTTTTAGTTTAAAGGATTAATGTATTAAATTTTTTTTTGGCAGGAAAACACTAAAAGTATATGGCTCTCAGTCCTGTCTAAAATAGGTAAGAGTAGTATTTAATACTTTCTTATTTATTAAACATATTGTCATCAACTGACCCTAACAGTGCTGTAAAGTTAGCATGAGTATGTTAGGTCCTGTTTGTTTATGTTTGCTTTAATTTCTATTGCCTTGTTGGATCGCTCCAGGAGAACATTGCTAAGATTTATGTCAGAGAATGTTTTGCCTATGTTTTCTTTTAGGAGGTTTATAGTGCCTTGTCTTATGTTTAAGTCTTTAAGCCATTTTGAGCTTATTTTTGTGTATGATGTGAGGGAGAGTTCTAACTTCGCTGATTTACATGCGGCTCTCCAGCTTTCCCAACACCACTTGCTTGAAGAAGCTGTCTTTTCTCCATTGTATATTCTTGCCTCCTTTCTGAAGATTAACTGACAGTGTGAATATTTTAATTCCCCTTTTATTTATAGGATAGTAAGTCACAGGACATTTATGTGCCTGATCTAAGTTCATTATTTGGATCAGAGCAATTGTTAAAATGATAGCTAAACCAATGTAAAATATTCACTTAACAGTAATAGTACCAAAGCTCAAGGTATATTTTCTAAGAGAGAACACACATCTTCACCTTTTTCTAAAGCAAATAACATGGAAAGACCTAAACACTGTGAGCAGATTGAATTAATTTTTCCTCTAATGTGATAAATGCTCCTTCTCCCCAAAACTACTTCCTTCCAGGAGCAGTTATCAAATCATTCCAGACCATCCTCGATTTTGTCTTGAATTCCATTACAGTGTCAAAAGCTTCTTCCCAGTGTGGGTCCTCATAACCAGTAGAACAAGGCTAAGTACCCAGTAGTATTAAATATATGCTTGTGAACCAATTGCACCCACCTTGCTGCCACAATATAAGTGAGGTCATCTGGTAAACCTAATGTATAGGCGCACATCATGAGTGGCACCATCATTAGCAACACTAAGTAAGTGGCAGTTAAATACAACACACTGCCCTATATGCCTTGTGTACATCTAGACTTGTAGACATATGTATGTATAATTATAGATTAGGAAACTGAGGCTCATAAAGGTGAATTGTTCAATATCTCAGAGTCAAAAATTCTAGACTTAGGACTTAAGTACAGACACATCTAAAGTCAAAGCCCATACTCTTCGCATTAGAACATGCTGCTTAAAGTAAGTGACTTACAGACCAGGTGTTAGGGTTCTCGGTGTTGTATTTGTTTCTCCAAGCCTTTCCTTTAATTTTGGTCTTATTTTGGTTGATGGATAAAACTACCTCCTTCTCAGACTCTTTCTTCAAAAAAGGCAACAATGCATTGGGCTAGCCCACATCAATTTGCAAATTCCAAACTCAGAAAAATGAATGAGTGTGTAGCCTCCCCCACTATAAAAACACAGCCTATGGAACAATCCCCCAAATGGTTAATTCTCAGTTATGCATTGTTCTTTGAAGACTGTGATTAATGGTGAATTATTAAAATTAACTCATTTTATACAACAGAAGAGAAGCATTATAGACAACTTGAAAAATATAAAAAACAAAAAATTTTTAAAAGTCCAATCTACCTTTATCTTCAGTACATTATGAAGCACTCTGAGGAAAAAAATGGGAGTAAACCATGAAAACTTTTCTCAGTTGCCCCAAATTTTACCATCAACTGAGATTATCAGTTGTGTCTGAAAAATATGGCTCCCACTGTCTGTTTCAGTAAAAAAAGTTTTATTGGAACACAGCCATGTTCTTTTACATATCATCTTTTGCTCCCATATAGCTGAATCAAGTAGTTTCAACAGAGGTTGTATGACATGCAAAGCCTAAAATATTTACTGTCTAGCCCTTTGCAGAAAATGTTTCCCCACCCCTGATCTAGATGATCAATTCATTTAAAAGACGGTTGAATTCCTACTGGGTGCAAAAGAATATACCAGAAAATATAGTAGAGATGTGAAAGCTATAGTTCTTATTCACTATCTTGTACAAATGTGGAAGAATTGAGTCCTTCAAATAATTTTCTAAAAGCAGCATGCTAACTAGGGGCACAGCTGAATGCCATGGAGACCGGCCAAATTCTCTTCCGCTATCCAGCTCTGCAGTCATGACGCTTACAGAATTACCTACAACTTGTCTAGTTAAACAACAATTTATCTCATGCCTGAAGGATCATCAATAGGTTTAATAAAGAAAAACACAACAGGGATAAAGTAAATGGGTCCCCCTTTCACAATGAGTTCAGTTAAAGGGAACAATATTCACCAGAGGGTATTCAATGAGCATACTCCACAATTTAAATATTAAATCTCTTTATGAAGAATCCTAAGGGCCACCCACCACCCAACAGTAAGTTTCCAGACTGTGTTTTCTGCTAATGTGGTGTGCACGGAGCGTCTGTTCATACCATACCTAGAGTATCACATGGTTCATTCTTCCAGGAACAAATATCAAATCCCGTGAGTAAGATGGCGTGGTCATGCCTCTTGCCATTCTTTCCAATGAGGGCAGACTGCCACTGACAAAAGCTATTCAGAGACTGGTCTGCGTGATGGTTGATCAGTAATCCTCTCTATGGGAAACCCACATAAATCAAAGTGAGAATGTGTCACAGAGATGAGAACGTTGAATCATTCTATCTGCACAGATAAACACAGAAACATCATGTTTCTGGGGGAAAGGTCAACAAAGGAAAACACTGGAGCTAAGGTTGGGGACAATTGGTGTTAAAAAAGAACTATTTTGGGGTAAGTGCTCACAATATTTGAAGTCACTACAGAGTCTCTCTCGTGTGGTTTATGACCAGTTGTATCTCCACATCAAGTAACTTGACATCAGTTAGAAACACCTTTGTTCTTTTCATGCTGGTACCATCTTTAAAGCACTGTTATAACTTTTAGAACCTAATTATTAATTAATGGGGATAAAGTTCAATGGCTTCTTCAATAAAGCATGAGGATGGTGGTGACCATAGCTTATTTACCCCAAGTCAAAATTTCCAGCAAAGGGCTTGCCATGTCACAGATCATAACCGACCAGTCAATAAAATGAAAGCTCACTGAATGAAGAAAGGGTAATAAAAGACCTACTCTTGAAATAATTATTTATCAAAATGTCTGCTTAACACTATTGACTTAGGTCAAGTGGAGGGTTTTCAGACAAGATCTTTCATTATCTGTGAATTAGGATGTTGATGGCTTTGATGTCCTTGGGCAAAGTGTAAGCGGTAGGTTAGACAGATGTGTCTCCCAAACAACACACCCTCTTTCCGCCTTTCTAAAATTCTAAGAATTATTTGATAAGTTGTTAACCTCTGTACTGCCACACACCTGGGCAATTAGATTAACTGTTGTCTTGTCTCTGACTCTTTGCTTTGCACATTCATTACTGGGGATACAGGTGAAGAGGAAAAACCGCAGGGACTTAAAAACATCCGATTGGTAATTCCCACCTCAAAAATACAGTTTCAATAGCATAACCCTACAAAGCAGTAGGTGTCATGCCATGCAATTGAACACATTATGTTCTGTTTTACATCTCACCATAATCAATTCGAGGACAGTTAAACATTCCTTTTCTATTTTCTGTAGTACGTAAGGTAGTGCTGGAAGATAGTAGCTTTGCCATCAGAATTTTCTGATGACTTACTTTCAGTATATTTTCAAAATATCCATTTGCAATTACTCAGAATATCCAATTTACAAAATCCAGCTAAACTTTAAATCTATTATCAAACGGACTTTCCTTGTGAAGCCTGCATATTTGTATAATGTAATACCTATATTTTACTTTCGTATTTGTATTACATATACCTATTTTATGTCCTATATTTATGCACATATATTTTATATATTTATGTATAAATAATTATTTTGTGATATTTTAGTTACTTTAAATACACAACCCTATTAGACGGTACTTTCCTTGTGGGTAGGGTCAGGATACTTTCAAATGAATTTCCAAAGGCCAGTCCGTGGGATGGCACACAGTAGGTGTTGAATAAGTGTATCCTAAGTGGCACAAAGAATGAAGAAATAAGCAAAGTTTGCCACTTACAGGTTCTTGTTCCAGAAGAATGAGGCTCACCACAACAATGTTTATATCACTTCCAATGGTCCCGTCTTTATATAGGCTGGAAACCTGTCGGAACAATTGAAATCAAACAAAAATAAAACCAAATTGGAAAATTTTGAAGATTGCCAGGGGAGATCAATCAGACATATTTGTAAGTGTATACACTTCAACTAATTTGACCAAATATAGGCACCTATGAAGCCGATTTCCTTAATTTTTTCCAGTAAAATCATGTGGCTACATCTGCCATCCAGCCCACACGAGGGAATTCGGTGACTTTAGCTGACTTGGAGAGCCAGAGGGCTGACGTCCTGACAAGTCCCTTACCATGTTCATGACTGTGAGAATGTACGTGGTGACGTTGGCCTTGCCGTGTTTTTCCACCATTTTCTTGTCTGCTACCACAAGGGTTTCCACGTTTAGGCCTTTTTGTGATTTTCCAGCTGATCTTCTGGGCCGCCCTGCGCTCCCGTATTCATCAAACCTGAGATAGGTGTCCTCTGTGGGAGGCTTAGGGGCATCTACAAGGAACAGAAGAGCATATGGAAGGGCTATCAGCAGAGAGCACCTGGGTGAGAGAGACAGAAATCTAAACAAGGGGAGGAGAGAGACCATTTAACCAATAATTCACTCATCTACTGATAAATGATGCCACTGGTGCCTGTCTGGGGGCTTTGTACCTAACTTGTGGTCAAGAGAGAGTCTTCCAGTACAAGGTTGGATGAATGGATGGATGGATGAACAGGTCCAGTAACTGAAAAATGCTCTTCTAAAGAGTGAAAGAAAACAAGCCGCAATTCTAGTTGGTAGAGCGGATCAGGAAAAACCAGTACTGTGGGAATCATCTTTAAAAACAGAGAAAGCTTATTTTATTTTATTGCTCAAAAAACCCCTGCAGAACCAGACATTATCCTTTGCTCCTGAATTTATTATAAGACTTTGTATATTATTTTCTAAAGAAAATTTAGAAACATATATCCTGTCAAACATGGCCAGTGCCTTATCCTCTTGTCTCATCAACACAAACTTGAAGGTAGCACAAAATAAGCAGTTGACAAGGACCCTCTGACCTGAGACTGACTTAGTTACAGGGGCAACAGCACAGTTAGGAGTGATATTTTAAATTTTATTAGATACTTGGTAATAGATAAGGTGCAAGCACCACCTGAACAGAGTGGATACCGGCCAGAGTCTTTGAGCAGAGACCTGGAAGTACCTGTTGGGTTAGGTATGATCCCGTTAGTTAATGGACAGTGACAAATCCAAGGGTTTCTGGGAAGGAAAAGGACATTTGGAAAAGCTCAGGACAATAACTATGTACTAGTAATACAGATAGATTTCAGTATTTTAACAACTGGTACAGTTGTAATGGTGAAGTCAGTTCTCCACAGAGTGAAATTAAAAGACCAAATTACTTAGAGTTACATTTAAAACTTCAAGTTGGCCATCGTGGTAAGTGATTGGGTTCCAGTTTCCTTATCAATGAAGAGTATGATATCCAATCATAAGGTTGCTCTCAAAGATTAGCTTTTATATCTCATATCAAATACGTATTGTTGCCACGATAAATATCATTACTACGATCAACACCACTATTATTATAAATCTATGCCAAATAGATGTTCCTTAAAAAGGACGTTTCCATAACACCCAAGTCCCCAAAACCAATTAAAGAGGTCCAAACTGTCTTGCACTATTGCTGCTGGTCAGCCTCTCAGAGATATCAGTTCCTCTTCTCCGTGGGTAGAACTACCATCTAGCTGCTCTGCACAGCTCCACAGTCACCTGCTGCTCATGGCTACTGAGACTCTGACGCATGGCTGGTGCCACTGAAGGAACAGAATGTTTATTTAATTCTTATTAATTGTATTTAAAAATTTAAAAGCAATACTTGAGCCTTTTTAGCTACTGAAAAACTTCAGTATATTTGAACACAATCTGAGTGTGGAAGTCTACTTTTAAACTTGAAATTTTATAAAATCTAGATACAGATGAAGTATTTCTCATGAGAATTTATTGTCTGCTTTGAAATTGTTCTCTAAGTGTAAAATAAATAGATTTCCAAAATTTAATATGAAAAAATTAAAAAACCACTTAATTTTCATTTATTAATTTGTTATTCTGATGACATGTTGAGATGATATTCTATATATATTGGATTAAATATATATATTTTTAATATTAATTTACCTATTTAAAAGTGTTTTAAAGTGGCTATTAGAAAAATTTAAATAAAATTTGGGGCTGGTGTTCTATTTCTAATGGACACTGCTGGTCTGGAAAGATGCATGTTGTGCCTGGCTCACAAACTTGTGTCCAAGTGTCCCTGTGTTTTCTTTGCCACCTCCACTCAGGGGCCAAGATTCTTGTTAATTGGGAAGTCTTTCCTTCAAGTCCTCAAAAGGAACACCCAACTACACCTGGGAATTCACCTCTGATTTCTTTCATTATTTGGAAAACTGAGTCCTTTTCTCATGGGTATGGAAACCAAAATAGTATTGAGATGTTGACTAAAAAAGTAGACGATGCTAAGAGAGCAAAAAAAAAAAAAAAAGTACATCAAAATCTTTCCAGTTTAACTCAGAAAAACTGATCCGTTTTTGCCTGACGGGGATGACGACTGGTCCACCTCCAAGGTAAATTTCAGCGGGAGCTTAGTGCGGCCCAGCACAACCTGCAAGTCAGCACACCCAAGGGCACTTGAGAGGAACAGAACAAGAAAAAGTTTCCTTACATACATTTCTTGCGTCGTCCACAAAAATGCTGCTTTTGCAACCTTCGGTGGTGATGCTCTCTTTCTGGACTCCAAGATGTGTGAGGAGTGTGAGTTGGAGGGCGACCAGCATGGTTCCGGCTGGAGCCCGGGAAGTCATGGCAATGCTGGACCTTCTCCTCCGCTGTCCTCTTGTACAGCACGTGAGGATGGTGGCCTGCAGGTGAGCTGTAGTTGTGTTCCTGGGCCAGGAGCTGAGGTAATGGCGAGATGAGGAATTCATTTTTTCGTGTCCTTATTAGACCTGACTAAAAAGTCAAACACAAAGAAAATATGAATGAGTCCATGCAGCCCTTTTGTTTAACGTGTTGATTTTTCAGCAATTTTGTATCAGCTACTTCCTATGTGTAGGCACTGCACTAAATGCTTGGCATGTAGCAGTCATTTTATCTGTACCATAAGCAGGTACAACCATTATTATCCCCATTTTACAGATGGGAAAACTGAGGCTATGATCCCAAGTAGAAAAGCTAGCACTGGCACCCAGAATTCTCCACCTTTAGAGGCACTGCTTTTAACTACTATTCTTAGATGATATTGGGGACTGAAGCCTGAGCCACATGACATCCTGGGAGTCTCCGCATCTGGGACATGGCATACACCACGGGAAATACCAGACAGGGTGATGCATTTAAAAACAGCCTGATGCTCAAAGAGCTGATAGTGTAGGTCGTAAAAAGAAAGACATTCCATCTTGATTTCCTAAGTGCTAAATAAAAGGTCTAGTAAGGACGGTGGAGAAAGGAGTGAGCAGTTATTGGTGAGCAAGTAGAGGTCTGGGGAATCTGATGGGCTGCACCATCATGAAGAGACATACCTGCTCAGTCAGAAGGAAAGAGGGCACTGGCGCAAGCCCATCCAGTCACAATGACGCTTTCCAAGTTCATGGCTCTACCTTTGTACTGATATGTCAGTCACAATACACCCAGTCATATTTTCAGCATACCTGGTCCTCTCTGCCACACTTGGCCTGGAATTTTCCCAATATCCAGACCCTGCTATGGAAAGTGTGATCTGTGGACCAGAGGCTTCAGCCTTAACTGGAAGCTGGTTAGAGATGCAGATTCTGAGGTCTCTCCCCAGACCTGCTAAATCAGAACCTGTACTTTATTTAGATCCCTGGGTGATTTGTCTGCCCATTAATGTTTGAGAAACATGGATGTAGACTAACAATCCTTAAACTGTGCTGAACATGAGCAACACCCACAGATCTCAAATATGTACGTACACACACACACACACACACACACACACACACACACGGAGTCATTCACTCCAAGGCAGAATCCTGTTCCACCAGAAACCAAATCTCTGTCCTGTGACTAACACATCAGAATTGTTTGTAACCATCAGGTAATTATCACAACGTACGAAATTGTGAGGCAGGGCTTTAGACTCCGTCTTCTTCATGTACAAAGTGGGGACAACTCTTTCTGCCCCGGCAACCTTACAAGAGGAGATAAAAACAACCATGGTGGAAGCCCTTTATGCACTGGATTCCAGTGCTTTAGATGACTGATGATGCCGAGTGATTGACTCAATCCATGATCACTGAGCACCAGTGAGGTGCCAGGCTCAGGTAAGTGCGAGCACACACCTGTGCAGGAAATATACACATACAGCATGTGGTTCACTGGGAGCCAGACACAGAAATATTCGTGTATGTAAAGGGGTGTGCGGTGACGGCAGGGTACCAGGGGAACACAGATCATCCCCCAGGGGAGATGGGTGGCATCAGAGGGGCTGTCCCCAGACCTTATTTTAACTCAATGTTACAGTTCAGTTTCTCACTCCTAAAAGATGTCCTGGAATGTGTGATTTTTGTCTTGATTCTCATTCTACTTCAGAAGTCTGCTGCCTTCTTTAAGACTGTCTTATTGTCTGTAGCACCAGCATGATACGGAGAACTTGGACGCAAAGAGAGATGCTTTCCCTCGTTCAGCATACACACACTGAGCCCCCAATTCACAGCTTTGTTCTAGGCTCTGGTGGATAGAGGCACAAGGTAACTAAACAGTTTGCATTTGTGCTCTCAGGGAGGTGACGGGAGAAACCACTAGCAACAAGAATTTAAATGAGTAAAATCTCGCCAGCCCAGGAATCCTGGCCATCGCATCTTTGGGCTGTATCTCAGAGCAGCCTGCCCGCTCTGGCCAGCCCAGTGCCCGGCTGGTAGACACTTTCATCCATCATTTGGACACTTTCTATCAAATCTTCCAAATCCCCTCGTTCTCCCCAATGTGGTCTCCTGACATCAGCCAGTGTCCTTGTCCAAACTAAACTGACTCACTTCACACTCTCTGGTATTCAACTCAGATCCAAATCCCTTTTCCTGGGCCACAGATTCCTCCATCATCTGCTGCCTGTGGAGCCGGGCAGCTATATCTGTCTGCTCTCCTTCAGCCCATTCTGAACAGGACACTGCTTTCCCTTCCTGAATCCAGTAAATTCTTTCACTTGAAGGGGAGCAGAATTTGCACCCCTCCAAACCTCCTGGGTGGAAGGATTACCATGAGATGATTATTTTTAAGAAGAAACAGCAGACCCAAGAGCAGCTCTGAAAACCTAGCAGAAGCGACCCCTTTCGGAAGAGTATTTCTGTTTAGAAGAGAAATCTCCATTGTCAGGGTCCTCCCTCGCCCTACCTGAACAGAGGGGTTGACTAAAACTCCAGAAATTCTTATCAACAGAGAAGGTTCCACCTTAAATCTGTGTCACAACCATACCCTTGTTTACTGGGCATTGCCTGACAGGCTGCCATAACTGCACCCCCCATGCCTTCTTGTGTCTTTAGCTGGACACGGTACTTAGCGTGTGCTGTGGGGGGCGGCTTGGGCCTGGTGGGAAGAAGCTCAGTTTTCCTGGGTCGCTTCCGTCTGCAGGGAGTATACAAGATGTTGAACACCTACATGTCTTCTCCTGTTGATCTGTCCTGTATTACAGGGAGGTCTCAGCCGAGAACCCAGAAGGGTGAAGGCCAAGTTCTTTCTCCTCGCCTATGCACACTCAACAGAGTGTGCACACACTTTTCCTTCCATCCACAGTCTTCTTCCCTCCCCTGCAGATTCACTTGCTCGGTTTGTAATCTTTGCTATTGTCTCAGTGCAGCACCATCTCCGAGGGGAGACAGGAATCAGGACTCTGTTGAAAACTACCCTCCCCCACTTCTAGGTATTCCAGGCCCCCATTAATTCACTGTGTGCCCATCTTCAAGGAAGGAAACAAAGAAAATGCAACCTCCCCATCCCCTCCGACATTTTAATGGACACGCCGTGCACGGGCATTCCTGGTGTACGCCACATGCCAGTACATATGTATTTATTTCTCTATGGACATCTATGGAATAAGTGAATTCAAGAATCTCAGAGTGGACAGGATGCTGAGAGCAGGCCGGCATCCTCCTCTCTTTCCAGCAGGGTTAACCAGAGCTGGGAAGCGACATGTTTAGATGCTTAAAAACCATGCACTCTTTCTACATGACAGATGTGAAGCCAGGAGCCCTCCAGAGGGTACCTTATTTCAACCTCACGGCCATCCTGGGAAGGAATCTCAGCAGGAAGTACAGGTAGAATTCAGTGCCCCCATACTTCCCAGAGCAGGGCCCCCTGATCTAAGCCTCCCCCAGTGCCCTCCCCTCTCCACGCTGCATGAAGACAAAAGACCCCATTTACAGTCCCCAAGAGACAGAGTGAACAGTTATAGGGGAAAAAAAACTGAGTGAATGATCCATGAAAAGTCCTCCAGCCTCACTAACTTCCTAACTTGGTTAAGCTAATATCAAAGGCCATGAAGGTGCCTTAAGTGGACTAACCGGTTTGGAAGCCTTCTCTTTTCTCCCTGTTTCTTGAGAACTGGAGGCAACTCAAATGCAGAGTGACAACTTCTGCACCAAGAAAGCAAAAAAAGGCATCCTACATCGGGACAAGCACGTTGGGCCCAAACAGCCTTCCACTTTTCTGTTTATGGAGACAAGGACAAAAATCCAGAATAATTCTTTATGACAAAACAAGGATTTTTCCGGGCTGGATATTAAGGAAGAAAAATATTCTTTGGTTAGATTGATGGAAAACAGTGTAGTCTAACCAAATAAATACATTTTAGAGTTTAAAAATTTAACCCCAGTACCTCTCAAGGGAGCCATCTGTTTAATTACAGAATGTGTGAAGCATTTTGAGTTCCTGAACACAGGCGACGTTCTGACAAAATGTGGCGAAAACACAAGACAGATCTGTGGTTCCATGGCTTCCAATTAAATGGAAGAAGCAGGGATTAAACGAGAGAAGATTACAAATGGGTATGAAATAGGCCTTTGTGTCAAGTACGAAGGAGAAAAGCAGGTTCTACAAGAGAAGACAGCAGAAAGAGTGAGGGGAAGGGGGAGACTAATTCTGGAAGGTTTTTTGAGGATATTTTCACAGAGACTAGAAGCACTTTCCTGGTTCACACAGGGGGAGCCCAGAGGGAACTAAGAGATGGACAGCTCAGAACTAAGTGGGGAGAAGCTGGCCAGGCAGGGGAGGGTGGTGGGGACCCAGAGACCCACCCAGAGGGGCTGGACATATATCTGGAGAAAATTCTAATTTGAAAAGACACATGCACCTCGATGCTCATAGCAGCACTATTTACAATAGCTAAGACATGGAAACAACCTCAATGTCCATTGACAGATGAAAGGATAAAAAGTTGTGGTATATATACACAATGGAATACTACTCAGCCATAAAAAGGGATGAAATCAAGTCATTGGCAGCAACATGAATGGACATAGAGATGATTGTACTAAGTGAAGTCAGTCAGTCAGAAAAAGACAAATATCATATGTTATCACTTATGTGGAATCTAAAAATAATGACACAAACTTAATCACAAAACAGAAGGAGACTTGCACAGACATAGAAAACAAACTTATGGTTACCAGGGGAGGAAGTGGGGTGCAGTAAACTGGGAGTTTGGGATTAACAGATGAACAACAAGGTACTACTATATAGCACCAGGAACTATATTCAATGACTTGTAGTAACCTGTAATGAAAAAGAATATTTATATATATAACTGAATCACTATGCTGTATACCAGAAACTAACACAACATTGTAAATAAACTATACTCAATTTTTTTTAAATGGGGGAAAAAAGAAGGGGCTGGAGCATGAAGACACCCTTAGGCATCCCCTAGAAGGACAGGAAAGGCCCCCAGGTCTGTGGAGATGTGGGTGCAATAACTTTACAGCTGCCCCCAACTCCCCACC